TAACAGATAATATCTTATCAATTTAAAATAGATATGAAATTCTAAAGAGAAATTCTCAGTTGATTTTTTGTTTCAAATTTTTATTGTTTTCATTCGTTTATTGATTTTTGTTTGTTTTTTTTTTTGTCTATAAAAAATAAATAATTATAAATGATAAATAATCTTTAGAAAACTGTTCTTAATGTTGCATTTAACAATGGATTTATTTTCACTTTTGTTGTTGCTCTAGCCTGGATTTGTCTTGAAGATTGAGTTTTACTGTCTGATGGGCGTTTGAAAGAAAATGGCATTAATTCACATTCAGATAATGAACTATTTAATGATGATGATGATGATGATGATGATGATGATGATTGTTTTGATGGAAGATGTGGTAAAGCTGATTTTGATCGTTTTCGATTAAATAATAAAGCATCATTATGTTTTTCAATGATAATTTTAGTTGATTCATTATATGAAACAGGATTTGGTTTAGTTATTAATTGTACTTGTTGACGGTTAGAGTTTAGTCTTGAAAATTTTTCTTTTTCTTTTAAATATGTTTGAGCAGCTTTTAATCGATCATTTAATATTGTTGTTGAACTTTTAAGATGATTTTTATATTGAGATTTTTTATTATATTCATGTTGATCATTTTCCTTTTTCATTAAATCTGTAATATAATGAAAAGCATCTAATTTAGTTAAAATATCTTTTATATTAGTTTCTAAATCTCCAATTAATGTTATATCATTTGTTCGTGGTTTTAAAAAAGTTCCAACTAATTGTCGATTAATTAAAAGTCTAACTGTTGAATGTTTTGTTAAATCAACAATATCAGCAAATGGATAAACAGATAATGATGTACCCATAACAATACAACAATCAGACATCGGTAAATCTTTTCTATAAAGTTCAAATCTTTGTGGAAGATCTTCATCAAAAAAAACAATATCTGGTTTAATTATACCATTACATCGTGACATTTTTGAACATATTGGAATTTTATCATTAAATATATCTTGACGAATATCTTCACATGAATATTTTTTATGACATTTTTGACAAGTTCCACTCATAAATGTTCCATGAGCTTCAACTATTTTATCAGGTGGAATTCCAGCCACTATAAATAATCATTGAGATAGATAAATAAATTTATTTATTTATTTAAAATTACTTCTTTCAAGTCCATCTATATTTTGTGTATAAACACGATGAAGAATATTATTCTCATATAAATAACGAATAAAATAATGATTTATATTTGGAAAATATTTTCCTGGATAAAGTTCTTTTGCTAAATGAAAAAATGGGTTAGAATTTTTATTAAAATAATTTAATTCAAATATAGCTTCAGGATATGGAATATTATAACGTTGTAAATTATCATATAAACCTGTACCTGGTGTTCTTATATAAAACAATAAATTAAATTAAATTAAATTAAATTAAATTAAAAAAATGTTTGATACCTAAAATCAGGTATACCACTTGCTGTTGATATACCTGCTCCAACAATAACAACAATTTTATTATATTGACCATTTTTAATTGATTCAATTAATTTATCAAGAGAATTTTTTTTATTTGAATTTTCTCGAATACTAATAGATATATATTAATTAATTATTTTTATTAAATTAGATATTATATTTACCTTTTACTAGTTATTTCAATTTTTGATAATCTATTTGATAAATCTTTTAACTTTCCATTTCGATTATTATCTGATAAATATGTTCGAGAATCTTTTTTCGACATTAAAACTAAAATAAAATAAATTCGAATATTTATTTTAATTTATTTAAATAATAAAATTAGTATAATAGTTAATTCAATTTATTAATAATTAATATTAATATAAACGATTATCTTTCAATCATAGAAAAGTTTAACATAGATTTTATTTTTAAAAACAATTTCTATAATATTATTTTCTATATTAAATATAATTACCTTTTTATTTAAATAATAATTAAATCAATATTATCTTATTGAAATAAATAAATATTTTCTTATTGAAATAAATAAAAAATTTCAATAATTTTTGTTCGATGTTGAATTGTTACGTAAAAATATAATATAAATGAATATGTTCAATTAAATATAATTGATAAATTATCTAATTAGAATGAAAATAGTTTTAGAGAATAGAAATAAATAAAATAATTTATTTGAATTATTTCGAAAGATTATTATTTATTTATTATCGATTTTATATATTAATCAAAACAAATCCTAGATGATTATAAAATTAAACAAAAAAAAAAAGATTTATCGTTTAGAAAATGATAAGGTTAGTTGTTATAATAAAAGATAAAACTCTAATGTGCCATTATGTTTTCTTTTATCGAATAAATAATGTTAGCTGAGAATGTTTCTATGTTTATTTGTCTATTCCAGCCAATAAAAAAAGGATCTTTTTTATTTTTTGCCTTCTACCCGTTTTAACGAAACTTCGTTATAGATGATTGACGAGCAGAAATTCTAAATTGAGATTAGACATTTCATTTAACCTTCCACTGACTAAAAACTCGACTAACCAAATAGGAACTTTTCTATTTTTCGGGTTGTTGCCGTTTTAATGAAACGTTTGTCATTACCTTTTCTGAAAGAAAGGTTCCATTACGTGACAAAATGTTTGTATGTTTATTTGTCTGTCACAGCCAATCAGAGTTGAGATAGAGTTTATTCAGGAAAAAGTCTCCTATCTCCTATTATTTCAGACTGAGGCTTTAGCCAATAAAATCTTTTAATTTTCTTGCTCTTATTCAATCAAATTCTTTTTAATCTGGAACTTCGTCCAATGATATGTAGTGTGTCAGATCTGTTCGGACGGTTGCCGTTATGTGGATGTGAGTGAGGTGGAAGTTGGATGTATCTCTGGGTATTTTTATAGCTATGTTTGAGGTATAGCTGCTCGTTTCATCGCTATGATTTTGACCGTCGACGTATCATATGAATGTTGTGTACGGATGTGACATGTGAGTTGTACTGACGTTTGTAGATGCGTGTCAATGTGAATGATGTCTGTAGTTGTTATGTGTGTCAATTAATATGTGCGGAATTGGTTGAATTAGTGAATAGGATAACTAGAGGAAGATAAATAGTCACATTCGCACATTCACTGATGCATAGATTTGATATTGGTATCCATTTCATTTATAAAATAGTCTATCATTCGAAAATTTCAGATAACTCCTATCGATGAGCTTCACGTCTCTATGTTAGATGAATAGAAATTTTATAAAAATAATTTAAAAAAAGTGTACTTCACTTGTTTTCTTGTTATCAGAATCTCGAATAGATTTTATGAAGTTGAATAGAGTGAAGTGAGGTAACCGAAAATCGACTATTAATCTATCCCTATTAGATTATTCATCCAATCGATCACTAACTCAACTTTCAGCTTTTACTAAAAAGTATTTTTTTTTTTTTTTAGAAAAGCGTCAACAAATATATTGAAGAGTATAACTTATAATTGATTGTCTATTATTTAAAAAGGTGTAAGAATCTAGAAATTAAGGATGATTTTAATAAATTGATGAATGCATTCAAACAACCGTAGGAAAAAAAACTGGTGAATTTAAAATTTTTTGTTTTAATTCGAATTTCCAATAAAATAAAAACGTATGTTATTCAACAAAATAATATCTTGATAAAAGTGAACCAGAGATATAGATCGCGTCTGAGAATCTGCCGGTGCCGCGATGGTATTTTTAAAAATGTTTCAATTTTCAAGGGTGTGATTGATCTTAATTATAACTGCTACTGGTAATTGATAAGATCTGTTAAGTCCTAGAGTTTAGGATACATCAACGTCGAGATTCTCTGTAAATTGATCAATTTTTTGAAATTTCTTCCTAAAAAAGCTGCTGCCAGCATGGAGATCTCTAAAGTGAACTTTTTTGCTATTTTCAAATCAAATAAAATTTATAGTGAATTTCAAACGTTTCATATGTAAACTGGATCGAAAAAGTTAAAGATACTTTTATTTTTGAAGTTTATCATCTCTGATGATTAGCTAGGTCAAATCGAAATAGTCATTTTTATAGCTCTTCAAATTTTCTATCGAATTGAATATATATCAAATTTTAAAAACAAACTTTATCAAGAGAGTTTTATAGAAAACCATACCAGAGGAATTTCAACTTCTAGAGAATTTTGACAGAAACATTTTTCAACATAAGAATCTCAAAGAGTAAAAAATCTGAAGAAAATCAAGGGTCGACCAACTCTCTATGATATTCCGCCACAAACTTCTAATCATTAGGAAAAACGAAAAAAACGCGTTTTTCGTCGATTTTTATGAAAAAAAGTTCGAAAATTCTATTAGAAGCAGATTTTTTCGTTTTTTCTAATAGTTATAACTTTGAGAGGGAATATCGTAGAGAACTGAGCGACCTTTAATTTTCTTGAGAATATTCTATTCTTTGAGATTCTTATATTGAAAAATCTTTCTGTAAAAATTCTCTAGAACTTAAAATCCTCCTGTGACAGTTTTCTGTAAAACTCTGTTGATAAAGTTTGTTTTTGAAAATTTGTCATATATTCTATTGAATAGAGAATTTGACGAGCTATAAAAATGACTATTTCAATGTGATCTAGCTAATCATTAGAGATGAAAAAGTTTAAGAATAGAAAATAAATATTAGAATTGTAATATTTAACGAGATAAATTATCCACTAAATCAGATAATTTCTTCGAATGATATTAATCTTCATTTATTTTATATAATTTATTTATTTTTTTGAGAATTTATTTTAAATAAAATTTAAAAGCAAAATCTTAACTTACAAAAAAAAAATATGATGAATTTGATTAATAAAAGAATTGAATATGATATAAATAATAATAAAAATCGATCTAAAATAAAAGATTGAATATTTGATTTGTTTACCAAAATGAATTTGAAAAGATTTATTTTGAATAAAAAGAAAGAAAAAAACGGTAAAATGATTATGGAATATAATAAATGGAATGTCTAATTATATAATAAAAAGTTATTCTTTATTATTTATAATGGAGTTTGTTCCGATGAAAAACAATCTCGAATATTTGTCCAACTTTTTAATGCCTATTTTATATTGAAAAATAAATTTAAAAAAAAAATTCATTCTAAACAAACCGATTTAGCTATTCGAACTTGAAGAAGACAATATGAACGAAGAATTTCACGTATTTGTTCTTGTTTCATTGTTTTATAAAAATCAATTTCAATTAAGGCATTTTTATTGAATTCTCTTTATTAACAAAAAAAGAAAATACTAATTATATTAATTAAATAAATAATAAAACAAACTTAAGACGAATATCAGCATTTTGACAATGTAAAACAGCATCATTTATATCCGAATCCATTGATTCAATTTTAGCATAACGTCTTTCTTCATTTTCACCAAATAATTTTGATTTAAATGAATTAACAGAAAAATTTATTTTATGATTAGCCTAGAAAAATTCAAATTTTATTTTATTTATCAATTTATTATATTTAATCATACATAATCATCTCTATGAGTTCGTTTTACTCCAAGTTTTGTTTCTTGTCTATTATTATCTTCAGATAATTCTTCATGTTTTTCAACAATTGATCTTTAAGATTTGGTTTTTGTTTTTGTTTTTGTTTAAAAATAAACAAAGATAAATGAAAAAGAAAATTGAAATACAATATGAAATAAATATACTTAATAACATCACAATAAGATGCTTGATGTTTTAAAAAATCCATTAAAGCATCTTCTTCATGTAAATATTCTTCGATTTGTCCCGAATAACTATTTATATATAAATTGAAATAAAAAAAAAAGCAAAACGAAACTAACCTATCAATAAAATGTCCAGCTCGTTGTAATGAATCTCCAAGTTTATCTTCATTTGTACTCCAATGACTAAATAATCTACCAAGTTGATTATGAGATTGATAATATTGAAATGTTCGATCAGCAACTCTCTAAATATAATTGATTAGATTTTTTTTATAAATAAATCATTTATTAATATATACAGCACGTGATCGAAGAACACAATGTAATGCATTATTTAAATCTATTGCATATTGATAACCATCCAGAAATCGTCTTAACAAATAAATTATTTTATTTTATTTAAATTATATTTATTTAAACATACTTATCTTTCGTTCTTTCATGTTGCATTAAATTCAATTTAAATGATGGTATTAAAGATTCAGACTAAATATTTTTATTTATTTATTATATAGACTTTTATTTAATAATTATTTTTACTTTTATAAAATCAAATCAATTTTTTTTTTTTTTTATTTAAATATTATTTAGATTTAATATATTAAAACGAATAAGTTTATATATCGGAAATAAATAATTCAATGAAAATTAATTTATTTCATTATTCTTTATTAATGATGATCATTATTTTATTTGTTCATTAGTTAAAAAGAATATTTAATGATTATTCTTTCAATTAAATTGATTGATAATTTGTCAATAATTGTAGAATTGAGTTATTTATTTAATTAATATATATATTATGTTTAGTATTATATAAAGATAGTGATTGAAATGAATTATCTCTGAATATATTTTATTTCTAAATATTGATATATCGATAAATAAATATTTATTTTATTTCAAATATAATTATCGAAGTTTAGATATTAAATAAGATAATATATTTGTTTTGATTTATTTAAATTAATTCGATTTATTCTATTTAATTATTTGATTATAAAAAAAGGATTTTTTATTCTATAGATTAGTTTTTCAAAGAATATTTCTAGTTAACAATTCTTCTTCCTATCATATATATATAAATGAATATTGAAATGATCTGAAAGATTTGTTATAAAATAGTATATTGATTAGAGAAATGTTTTTTATATCGATATAATAGATAAACTAATTATAGAATTATTCAATAATTATTATTGATAAATTAAAATTGATATTAAATAAATTAATAAATGATTTACTTTATTAATAAGATGACTTGAATCGACAATATGTTTCCAACCATCATTTTCAAGTAAAAATGTTTTAACTGCTGGATCAGATGATAATGTTGGATGAGCACATAAATTATGTAGAAAACGCTAAAAAAAAAACAAAATAACAATTTCAATAGAATTGATTATATAATTATATATAAACAAACTTCAAGTAAAATTCGTCTTCGTTCAACAACTTCTACACTTGTTCGATCTTGATGTGATTTTGACCATGTATGAGAAATCTTTTATAAATAAATAAATAAATAAATATTTATTTTATTTATTTGAATTATTTTCCTGTTTTTTACTGTTTTTTCGGGTAAAACAGGTACAATAATCCATGAATATTTGGCAACAAGATAATTTCTTAATGTTTCAAAATCTGAATAACGACGAAAAACACATGATGATTGAATATCTTGACTAGATGATATTCCTGTTCTTGCTCTAAGAAACAAAATAAGAAAATATTTGTATAAAAAAAAAAATTTATTTTCATTTTAAAATAAACTAAACCGGCATTGAATTAAATAAACAATATAACAATCTTGTATTGCAATACTTGAATTTCTTCGTTCACTATTCGATATTTGAATATCATATTTATCATATAATGTTGAATTTATTTCACTCATCTAAAATAAATTGATTTTTATTTCTTTCATAGTTACCATTATATATATAGGCGCTTTATTAAATAAAACAATTTATATTGATTGATTCAAAAATCATCTCTTATTATATAATAAAAATTGTTTTACACTTAAGTTTTTTTTTTTTCTTGAATCAATTAAAATATTGATTAAAGATTTAAAATAATTATCTAGATGAATTAGAAATATTTATTTAAATAATAAATGAATTTAATTGAATATAATAAATCAGGTAATTATTATTTAAATATATATTATTATTATTAAAAAACAAAACAAAAGGTTTGTCAGAATCTAAATTTAAACCAGGTATTAGTTTAGCTCGAGTTATTGATGAAAATCTTTCATCAATTTATTCAAATGAAACAATTCAATCAATATCATCTAAAATAAATCATCAACAATCAATAAATCAATCCGAATATTGTAAAGTTAAAAAATATACAAAAAAAACAAATGTTAAATTAATTATTTTATTTTTAGCTAAATATAAAACTGAATTATGTCGAAATTATTCATCTAATGGTTATTGTTCATATTCATCTCGTTGTCAATTTGCTCATGGTATTAAAGAATTACGTTCTCGTATTCGACATCCAAAATATAAAACAGAAATTTGTCGAAATTTTCTATCTGGTTATTGTAAATATGCATCTCGTTGTCAATTTTTACATATTAATTATAAAATAAAAGAAAATTCAAATTCATCGATTTATTCAAAAAAATCTTCTAAAATCGATTCAATTTTATCTATATTAGAATTATTATTATTTATATTATTAGATAAAAATACAGAAGATTCTATAAGAATAAATTTAATTAAATATTTATTTAATCAATCAAATAAATTAATATATCAACGATATATAAATAATTATAAATTTAATTTATCCGATATTTATAATCAGACTTATTTAGAAAGAAAATCAAACTCTTTTTATATTAATTCAATAAATCAAACATATTTACCAATTCAATTTTATTTCGAACAATAAAATAATTAGATTTATTCATATTAATATTATTTTATCAATATTATCGAACGTTTTCTTTTTTTTTTTTCTAAACTAAAAACTAATAACGAATTCTAAGTAAACTTATTGAAATGAATAAAATCTATTCAGTTTTGCCCTTTTTTTACGAACGTTAGATATTTTCAATATTGATTATAATTAACTAAAAAATCTATATTTTATTTAATTCAATATCTAAATTTAGTCAATAATCTATCATCAAATTATTTATTCATAGATCTAACACTTTTTCTTTTCAATATCAGCATATATATAGAAATAATTAAAGATTTCGAAAAGATAAAATACTTTATTTATATCTGAGAATATAAAAGTTGACATTTAAAATAAAGAATTTTTTTTTTCTAACTTATTGAAAGAATTAAGAAAAATCGATAAAATAAATCGAGAGATATATTTTGAATAAATAAATATTTATTATTTGTTAAAATTTTAATTCTCAATTGAAATAAATGTTAAATATCTAGTTAAATATATATTCGATTTGAAGAGTGACGGATACTTTTCTAATTGACTCTAACTTACTCGATATGAACTTTTTATCCAATTATTATTTCTCATATTTGACCATCACCTTTATTTAATATCGGTGTCACGACGAGTATTAGATTAATACTTCATAGGAGTAAAGAGAAGATCAATCCTTGAATAAAATCTAGTTTACCTCATTATCGATCACATATATATTGTCGATATTAATCATGAGGATATAGTTAAGGAATTTACTTTTGTCGGAGTTTTTCTTTATAATTTTGTTTATCGTAAGATATAATTAAATCTCTAGACTAAAATAATATTCGCCTTATGAAATAAAGGTAAAGTTGGCGTGCAAATCAAATCTCAAATTGATAAACGATAACTATTTTGAATTTTGTTAGTTTATGGTAAGGAAAAAGAAAATAAATTCGTCAGATATTTGACTAGAATTTAAAATAACCTACGAAGATACTTATTCGTTCATCTTATTGACACTATTACGATATATTTCGGGTTTAATTCTATAAAAAAAACGAAACATGAATGACAACATCGTGTCATTATTTGTTTAATTTATTATTTATTTGAACTATTTGTAAAAAAAAAAGAAAGAAGAAAAACAAATGTGAATATAAATGAGGATATTTCTAATATAGAATATCCATTGGTTTATAGATAAAATATATTCGAAGTTATTATCTTCGTTTATAAATAAAATGAGATTTAAAATCTTGTTAAATTGATTTGATTAATATTTAAGATATATTATTTGATAATACTGATTTTGATTTCTGATCTAAATGATATATATATATCTATAAAATAGAATAAATCATTTATTTTCTTTCCTTTTTTTTTTATTGTAAATAAATCAAATTTTCTTTATTATTTTCAAATATTTTTCTTAACTATTGAAAACTATTTGATTTAAATCATAATTTAAAGTAAATAGATATTTTACCTATTTACTTTAGTATTTTGTCAATTTCTATTAAAGTAATGAAAAGAAAAGAAAAGAAAAGAAAAGAAAAAGAAAAGAAAAAGAAAATACTGAACGTGCTTATAGATAATCGTCAGTAAAAAAAAAGTGCATCATATGTTATAAGGACATTGGTGGAAAGTAATGTGTGATTATTTTTATAATAAGAATATTTTTTCAAGTAAAAGAACAAGAAAATCCAAGTTGATTTCTAATAGATACGGTCATACGAGGAAAAAAAAGCGAGCTAGTAAGATTCTGTTTTTTTTAATTTTCTTTATAAAGAAGAATGACGGATGTCACGGAGACGAAAGAATTTCTTTTCTTAGTTGTTGCTCTTCTTTATTTGACATCCTACATTTGTCTCTTCTCTGAGTTGATCTCTTTCTCAAACATACGCTTACATCAACAAAATTAATAAGAAAAAGAGAAAAGAAAAAAAAAAGAGAAAAAAAGTAAAGAAAATATTTCCAAAGTCTTGTCAAATCTCATTTAGTAAAATAGTTTTAAATTGAATGAAATATACTCGTTTTATTCTTATATTTAATGTTAATTAATTTAACTAATTGAATATATTATTTAAAAAAAAAAAAAAAAAAGTAGTAAAAATGTCTCGATCGGTGATCCATTCTGTAATTGATTTACTTGTTAAATCTGAATCAATCGAAAAAGTTCGTCAAATTTTATTAACAATTGTTGAAGCAACACGTAAAGAAGATGGTTGTTTAAAATATAAATTATTTGAAAATTTATATGATAATTGTCAATTTACATTTATTGGTGCATGGGAAAATGAAGATGCATTTGATGATCATTTACAATCTGATCATTTTCGTAAAGGTGATCAAGAAATAAAACAAGATTTAGTTAAATCAATTGATGTTAAACGTTATAAATATATTCAAAATGATCCAAACAATATATCAGAGAGAAAAACAAGTTCTTTTTGTATTTTAATATAATTGATTATTTTTTTTTTTTTTTTTTTTTTTTTTTTTTTCATTTTATATATTCAATAAATATGACAAGAATTTATTCTATAAAATGACACTCAACTAATTATTTTTATTTTCGTCTTTATTGACTAGATGATTGATTTTTATTCAAACCTTGAAAATGAAATCTGGATAATATAATTATTAAAATAATTATTTTCTTTGATTAGTTGATAAAATTGATTGACGAAATCCAGGGATATTATCAAGTATATTTGATGGAACAAATTTAAAATGTTGACATGGACCATGTTGATCATTTATTTGTTTTGATTTAATTTCTTTTTCACGTAAATCAAATAATTTAATTGCTACATTTTCAAGACGATCATGATATTCAATATTCTTAAATAGAAAATAATTATATTAAATAAAAATAATTATTTTAAAATGAATACTTTATAATTATCTATAGGAACATATTGAAATCCATAAATAATTCCAAATAAACCAGCAGCTATTGATCCTGTTGAATTTGTTTGACCAGTATGAAAACATGATCGTTTACATAATTCTGACCATGAATGATCACTTGTTATTAATGCATTATATCTATTAAATAAAAAATATTATTTTTATTTAAAATATTAATTATAATAATGATCTACGCTATAGCTATTGAATCGCATCCACTTGATCCAGGCCAACCAGCATGAGATAATGATCGATAAAAATTGTCACGTTCTTCCATATCTTTTATATTAACATCTTGTCGAATTATAAAGTCTTTCCAAAATTTTTCAAATGATGACCTTAATTAAACTTCAATTTAAATCATTACATCAACTATTACTTAGGGACATTCAAAAGTAGTGGCAACCTCCCATTTTAGTACAGTATAGTAAACTTGAAAAAAATTTCTTTTTATATAGAATTATAGAGAAAAACAACTAATCTTTCTTTCTATGCTATTTTATCATATTTCTATTGATATCATAAGAATAAACTTCTAATAAGACCAGTGTTGCCTATAATGTGTTACAGTTATATTAGCTGATATTATCTCGAAAATTTATTATTTTCTCTCGCCTCTTTCAAGAGTTTATCATTTATTCATATTAGCATACACAAAAATACAAAATACATTTAAACAAGTTCAACAAGTTTTTATTTTATTAAATGTTCAAAGTAATCATCTTGATTATCTACACAGAACTGCATTCGTTGAATACATTTATCAAATGTTTTTTTTAATACTCTTGTTTATTAAAAGAGTACATGAACTCGGTTATAGCATGATGTACCGATTTCGAATCAATTTAATAATTTATGTTTCGTTTGATCAAGTTGAATGACCAAAAATAATAGGATAACAGATCTAGAGAATTAGATAATTGTGACACTATAATAACTTCTTCTCATCGAGAATAATCGAAAACATCTTTATGAACATATCATTTTTCCATTACCATGATGAATTTCAACGGTATGAGTATCTGATAGAGATCTTTGCTTTTTCATTTCTTCGATAACAGATTGAAAACAGTTTTCGATGCAATATCGATGGTCGACAGTTTGTCTACGTTCAACATGATAGATTAGAATGGGACTAGTTGATTTAAAGAATATGTAAAATAAACTTCTCTGACCAAACTTATTGTGTCGATCTATTGTAGATGAAGAATCTTCTTTTGTCACCCAAGCACCATTCGATGATTTTCGATCAGTTTGTTTATGAAAAAACTACGATTGATCACCTGTTACCACGTGACATAATCGTCATCTTCTTTCTTCAAATTCTGATAGATTTTCTTTGCGTATTCGAACTCGTTCACTCCGTTGAGAATCCGTTAGTTATTTAGGTATGTAACGAGCAGTAAATTTTCTAAGTTTGAAATGATAAAATAATATTCTATGAACGGTGGTATAACTTAGAGCAGTTTGCTCTTGCAATTCTTCTATTGTAACATGAGAATGATTGTTAATAATACTATCAACTTGTTCAATATTTTCAGGAGTAATCTCGTTTACAGATCTATCAGGTCGTTCTTCATCTTCAATCTCTTCTTAATCTTCATGAATCCATTGAGGCCATGTTGTAACTGTTAGAAAGAAAGAAGCTTCATCACCAAAAACAGTACTTAGCTCATCATGAATAGTTATTGCTTCAATATTAAGTCCAGTACGCACTTTAATGTAAAAGCAAAATTTTTCTTTATACATTTAAAACACAAATAAAGAGTGTTAAGACTTGATTTAACTTTATTTGTTTCACTTTCTATAGAATGCGATAATAAATGTCACGTACACAAAAAAAGACATGTGTCTTTTTTATACATACTAATAAACGATAAACTCTTGAAAGAGACGAGAGAAAATAATAAATATTAGAGACAATATTAACTAATATAACTGTAATGCATGATAGACAAACTCTTCTTATTAGAACTTTATTCTTACGATATTATTTGAAGTATGATAAAATAGCATAGAAAGAAAGATTAGTTAGTTTTCACTATCATTCTATATAAAAACAAAGTTTTTTCAAGTTTACTATACTGTACCAAAATGCCATTGCCACTATTTTTGGATACCCAAAAGTACATAGATCACGTCAAAGGTTTCCTCAACCTATTTATTTAAAAGACTTTATTAAGAAATAACTATGCTACTATAAGATCCAGACATATTTAGAATTATGTGAGACATTTTCAGACTTCTAAGATTTATGCTTTCCCATGGAAAAAAATAGAGAAAAAATCAAATTAAAATCGATTACAATTTGGTTAAGAATCAATTATAATCATACACCTTTAATCGATTCGTCATCGATTCGTCATCGATTATAAATCAATTAAAATTGAGATCAATTATTAAAAATCCACCTAGATTGTTGCTACACTATAATGAGTATAGTCTACGAACTAGATCGGAATGGTGATACCTCAATGTCTAAATCCTTAAGCCTATACTGTATAACTATATTCCTACAGGTATATTTTTAAGACTATATCCTTATACCTCTAACCTTGTCAGGTGGGGCGAATTCAAAATTAAAGGAGAAATTTATTTTTGTTGTCTTTGTTTTATGTGAATAGAACTGATCGAGTTCAATAGGAAAAGTACTACGTCAGGCATTTTAAAGTTGGTTTTCGCTGAAGAAAATTGAAATTAATTAAGAATGAGCTCATGTTTAGACATTTTGATCACTAAAATTCTGTTTTCAAACAAAGTTCATGTAATATTCAAAATCAGGATAAAAAATTGAATCGAATTAAATAGATTTTATTACAAAATATTTTGCCATCGAAATTCGATCCCTACTTCTTCTATGGCTTATTCAAAGTGATTTCATCGTAGAGCCCGCTGGGATCAAATTTCGATGAAAAATATTTCTTAATAAAATCCATGTTATTCGATTCAGTTTTTTATACTGACTTCGAATATTACATGCATTTCATTTTGAAAACAAAATGTTGATGATCAAAATATTTAAACATGAGCTCATTCTTAATTATTGTACCACTGATATAAAAAAAAAACTTGATTTTTCAACTAATGCGTCATTATCATTTTAAAGAGGTACACAACTCTTTTCAATTGGCATACTAACTGCAATCTACTAAAAATAACTTTTTCATCATTTATGCAAAAGTACTTGATAAGTTGACAATGTGCATAGAAAGGCCTTTAAGGGTTCTATTCATGTTTTGAGGTAACACCGCTCATTTTAGACCATAAGAACGGACAATCTAGTATTTTATATACAGTTTTACATGGAGAATTACAAAAGATTACTTTTGGAATTTGAAACATCAATAAACATGAGGATTTGGAATAATATTTAAAACTTCATTCATTTTGCATGTTTTTTAAAAACTGATTATTTTCAATTTTCTTCAGCGAAAACCAAATTTGAAATCTCTAGCATAATACTGTTCCTATGTAACTCGTTGAGTTTCATATACATAAAACAAAACAAAACTAAACTTCTGCTTAAATTTTGAACCTCCTGCACCTTACGTATACCCTTATGACTATATCCTTATGTCTATACCCTTATACCTATACTCGTATATCTATATCCTTACACCTATATCCTTATATCTGTATCCTTATGACTACGTCCTCAAGAGTATATCATTACACCTATAACCCGACACTTATTCTCTTACGAGGGAGTCTCTCAAGTATTAAAAAGGTTTTGAAGTGAAAATCTGTACACCCATAGGGCAGATATATAGCAGAAAAAGCTTAAAAGGATATGAGTACAAGTTACACTCTGGCTGAGATATCGACAGTGTAGTATAAATGCGCAGCAGAGTCCTAATTATCCAATAATATAAAAGTTTCGAATTTCACAATAAACTTTACCACGATCGAGGTTTCAATCCGAATAGTTTCCCTATAAACTTTTAAAAGCTTTGAACAAGTTATCGTCAAGATATGAATTTTCCGAAATATTTATGCATAACACAATATCCAGAAAAAAGCGTCTTCATGATAAGAATCTAATATTTGTAAGATAAGTTGTCCAGAGTTGAAAAACATTGGAGATAAGCTAATCTGATTGAGGTCTTGATGTGGACAAAATTTCTAGTGAAAATTGAAAAGTTCGATTATATCGGAAAAGTAGGGTTCTGATAAAAGAATGATACAACAATGTCAATATATCGGCCAAATGGTAACTTGTACCCATATCCTTTTAGATCTCTTCTGATGTAGATGTGCTGTATTGATGAATAAGTTTTGATCTGAAAAGGTTTTTAGCAGCTAGAAATGTTTCCTCGTCAAAACCTATATCCTTATGACTATGGATGGAGTGTTAACCTGAGATTTAGTTAAGTTTTATTATTTAACACTTAATATTAGGTTTAACTTTTTTTTACTTAAAACTTTATTTTAAAAATGAACTGTTAATAACAAACTTAATGTTTAATATTAAGTTTAAGTGATTGTGTTAAGCAAGTAACATTTAATTTAAAGTTTTACATTACCTCTAATGGGACGCACCGTGCTAGTGTTCGAGTCATATAAACGGGTACCCTGATAATCCATGATCGGCTCTGAAAAACATTAGGTTTTATCTTTACAATAGCGGAGAGTGTAGTTTCCTCGGATTTTATAGATCTATAGAAAAAACGCATCAACCCAGCAGGTTTCAATAGTGATTTTTCCGTCTGTTGTAGAGAGAAAACCTATTGGTGTTCGATGTCGATGAGAGGTTATCAGGAATCCTAATTTGTATGATTGAACAATAGTATTGTATGCCCATGTAGCAGTAATAAAAATGTTGAACTGCAATCAATTTTCCGTAAATCAATGACTCAAATCTAATTTAAAGTGTGTTAGGTGTTTATTATTAAAATGTTGAACTTAATATTAAGTGTGAAGTAATAAAACTAAACTAAATTTAAAGTTAAGCTAAATGGTTCATCCCTACTAATAATTAAAATCGATTCCAGAGGATAATAATCAGTATTACTTGATTTAAATCGAAGAAAAATCATCAACTGATGATGAAAATTGATTTTAATCAATTCCAGTAAAGAAAACAATTATAATCGGTTAAAAACTAATGACTTCTAATTAATTATGGGAAAAAATCGATTATAACCTTTGATTTAATAAAAAAAAATTAGAATCGTTTGATTTTCATCAATTAATTACGTCTGAAATCGATTAAAATCATGTATCTGTTGATTTTTCTGTTTAGTTTTTTTTCCATGAGTTTGTTGTAGTCTATCATTTGTTCTATATTAGTTAGGTAGGTTAAACAGTGCCGTTTTCTATATCAGTTTTCAATTCGTTAATAAGTTGTATTAAAAAAAACAAAATACATCACAAGATGCAGCATTAAAAGTTCTACAATTTACATAAGATCGATTTTTTTTCAATAGTTGCACATTTTGCTTTGAAAATGGAGAAAATTTTGAGCGATCAAATTTCAGGCGTGTAACAACGATCTTTTGTTGTCGTAGAAGAAGAATTTGTTCTTTTTTCTTTCTCATCTTTTTACCAGTTAATATTGTTTCGTAAATAGAAACAAAATATACCGAAAGATGCAGCGTGAAGAGTTCTACAATCTATGTAAGCGATAAAAAGATGAAATAAGAACAAATAAACTTCTCGTTCGTATTATCTTTTCACAGTGTCGAAATTTGATCGGTTAATATTTTCTCTATTTTCAAAGCAAAACGTGCAATTATTAAAAAAAAAAAGCACTCGTATATAAATTGTAGAGCTTTTCACGCTACATCTTGTGGTGTATTTTATTTTTTAATACACCTTATTAAAGGATTTTAAATTGATATTGAAAAGGCGACCATCCAACCCATTATCTATTATATTGTAAATTCCATCTACCTATTATAAAACAAATTATAGACTAGAATAAACCAGAAAAATGAGAAGTCTGCAATTTTGTACATAATCTTAAATACGCCTAGCCTTTATAATAGTATAGTTAGTTCTTAGTTAAATATTTTAAGAAGGCTCAACGAAAAAATGTTTGAAGTGAGCCTTGTATTTAACTTGGTTAGAATATAATATTGATAAACAATATTTATTTATTTAACATATTATAGAAATATTTAAAATAAAATAAATAATTCATTGATTATTTATTCTATAATATTTAATAATCAAGTTAATTATATTAACAAAGATAAAACTAATTTCAATAGAAAATTGTTTAAACAATTAATAACTAATAATATGTTTTATTATTGTTATAGATTAACTTAATCATAACTAACTCTTTAGCTCTTATTGATGATAATTTCAATTCATTCTATTGGTTCTAATCTTTAATATAATTTATATTTTTCTCTATCAATTCTATGATTATTGATAATCTATTAAATATACGATTATTCACTTTAATTCAAACTCCTTCTCGATATAATAGTAAAATACATAAGTAAACAATATATCAATCGAAATTCTAATCTACGGTTTATAATAGTATGCATTGTCTTGATCAATACTTTTATCTCGAAAATATTTATCTAGGATTTAGTTTTTTCTGGTTTATTATTGAAAAAGAAGTTTTATTTCCAATATAAAAAATAAAATCTATTTCTCAGAGAAATATTCTACTATCGTTAAATCTATGTCAATTTATAAAATAAATCTCACCAAAAATTCATTATTTTAGTTTGAAAAAGAAAAAGAACAGTTAACGGGTTAATAAATCGAACATGTCGATAAACATAGATCGATTCTTTTATTGGTTATAGAAAAAAAAAAAGCGATCTATCTGAATTAAACTTCCTATATTTAATTAGTAAAACTGTTGAAGATTTATCTCAAAAAAAAAAAAGTAAAGTTAACTAAATGTTGTTTGTTAGTTGTTAAAGAAATAAAAAGTGTTACCAAGATTTAATATAATGTGTTAAATGAGATCCTTGTTGAGATTGAATATGATGTTGAAGATAAGGTAAGATTTGAATTAAAGATTTAATCCATGTATTTATTGGTTTATCTTGAATAGCATAAGATGTAAATAATGATGAAATAAAACCACCCAGAAAACCTTCAAGATGAGAATTTGTCATACGAGATATTTCAATAGAAACATTCATTAATTTATCAAATTCAGATATTTTACTATAACGAAGACCAATTGATATTGATCGAACAGCAGATTTAGAATCGTTTGATCTAAAGAATAAAGATTTACTTTTGTCTAGAAGTTTTGTTTTTTTGTTTTAAAATTGATTTTAAAATAAATCTAACATAGGAGAATATGGTTGTGACCAATCATTTTCTGATAAACGATTAATAGAAGATATTTGATTTGAATCTTAATTATTATATCTAGATAATAAATAATTAATATTATTAATCAATACTTACTTGGATGACGATTTTTTAAATCATTAAGAATACTTTTCAATTTTTTAACAATAGATGAATACAATTCTGATGATGGATCTTTTTCACCATATTCACTAAGACCTTTTACAAATATATATAAAATAAATAAAATAATAATTATTAGATATTTAACATACATTCACCTATAGCCAAATGAAGAATACTATTATCACTTAGACGCCATTGAGGAACTAATTTAAAAAATATTATTTTATTTTATTTAAAATAATATTTATTTATACTAACGTTGAATATGAATATGTTCGATTTGTTGAAATGTTTCAATGAATTCTCTATAAATATCTTTTCCAGAATTATTATATAGCCATATACCATTTCGATAACTAATTATTTAATTAATAAAATAAATAAAATTGTCTCATTATTAAATAAATCTATTCTAATATTACCCTAATGCATCTCCAACTCCACTAAGTATCATAGATGCTTTATATCGTTCAAATAAATAATTTGACATTTTCTTTCTTTTTATTTCTATTACTCTTTTATTAAAAACACTTATATAAACACAAACATAGATCAATACTCATTGGTTTACATTTCTATCCAATTAAAATTTATTTATTTATTTATTTTATTTTATTTGAAATGATTATTTTATATAAATAATTGATGTAAAAAAATATTTAATTAAGATAAAACTGTATGATAAAAGAGTGATTTCTATATGATTGGTTTCATAGTTAGATTATTATTTTATCTTTGATCATTAGTCTGATTGAACAATTTTTTACTTTTCAAAGTAATTATTCAGAATTTGAATAAAACAAATATATAATAATGTGTTATATGTCACTTTAAATAAGGAACATACCCACATCCGAGATTATATATTTATACTTCGAGAATGCTTTTAGTTTAGAGGTATTCAACAGTAATAAACTTGTTATCATTCTTTATTAATTAGAAAAATAGTCTTTAGTTCTAGAGAGAAAATTTGATTCTATTTTTTAAAAATAAAGGAGTAAAGAATAAAAAAAAATGTTTTATCGATAAATACAATAGAAATTAATATTAAACTATTGAATTTCGAAAAGATGATATTAATATTAATTATCATTTTTCTATATGATAAACAAAAAGAAATGAATTTGTTTTAGTTTTATATATTAATGTAAATTGATTTCGTACAATTAACATAGACAAGAATATATTCTTCTGGATATTAAAATTTTCCAATATGTTCATTAAAATATCGTAAGATTAATTGGAATATTATTCGTTTGCTTTGTTTTTTTTGTTGTTAACTATATGAAATAATTTGTTCGTTGTCATATAAGACTATCAAGAAACGATTAAATTTGTTGTACCTTGTAACTTATTATCGTTAAACAACGAATAAATATAAAAAATCCATAGAATGTTAGAAAAAAACGATGGAATTTAAAAAGTTGAATATACAGTGTTGGTTCTCAGTTAGTTAAATAAGATATATGAATTATTTTTTATTTTTAATAGTAATACTTGCTTTTTCAACATGTTTTCGATAATAGAATGATTATGTAAAAAAGTGAATTAATAAATATAAATAATTGAGATAATTTATCGAAGATAGTTATAGAAGATTGGCAGAAATAAAAAAACACAAAAGTTAGATTTATCATCTATGAAACAAATTTGTTTTACTCAAGTTTGAATATTTTATGTTTAGTTTTGTTTTAGAAATAATTTATTAATTTAAATAAAAACTCTTCAAATTTCAATCATATTGATGAAGTATTCCAACATCAATTTCATTTCATTTTGTTTTTTCACTTTTTTAATATTAGTCATTTAATTAGTCATTTAAAATAAAAAGAAAAGAAAAGCATAGTATAACTTTATTTTTAGATAAAATGACTTGTCAAACTACAATATAAACACTAGCAAATCAAATTCTCTTTTATATATTTTCTCATTTGTCATAGACTGATTTATCTAATGTCTTTATGCTCCTTAAATATTCGTTTGAATTCTATTGTGTGTTTAACTCTTTTAATAAATGATAATAAATTGAACATTGATCTTGTTATTAGATAAGATTCAATATTCTTTTAAGAGAGAAACCGATTTAAGTTGCATCAGATAATACGTTTGAAGTTGTAGAAGAGTTATTTAAAAGTTAATCTTGAGAATTTGATATATTTTGATATATTCTTTTATTGAGCAATAATTCAATATAAATGGTTATAACTGAGGAAGAATTGAATATGCACAAAACTTAGTCTAGACTTAATTATGTTTGAAAATATTTCAATCGAGCAAGTAACTCATACAAGGAAAGATCTTTTAGTAATCCTCGGAAATTTCAATGAAACTTATATGAGTTTGTCAAATCAAGTCTATATATCTCAAATATTTAAAAAATAATCACTTTAACTAATCAGTGGAAATAATTTGAAGTAAATATATTTTTTGCTTAGAATCTTGAGGGAACTACAAACATTTTTTTTTATTGATGATAAAAATTCGAAAATAATTCTAGAATATTCGTAGTTCAAGTTAATTTTAGGTGCTGATTCTAAATATGTTATTAGTGTTAGTGCATATTGTTATTTTTTTTAAACGAAATTTCGTGAGTAATAGTCGAATATATAACAAAATCAAATTTGAAGAATAGTTTCCTAGAAAATTTAAAAGTGAGCAGGATTTTTGGAATTTAAAAAATATGTGATTATATAGTGTTTGATTTTTTTAAAAATATTATTAATGGATATATGAACATTTACATAAGCTGACTAAAACTTATAATTATATTCATTGGTTGACTAGATAACTAACTGATTTACCACTCACCGACAATCAAATAATAAATGAAAAATACATATACTTCGTTTTTTCAATAGACTTTTTGTTAAGCGAATTGATGTAGAGTCTAATGCTCTATCGAATGATATCATTCCAAAGCGAAAGTGATATCAGTAAAATATTTCATCATCATTTTGACGATTGTAAATTAATAGTAGTATGTCCACTGGTTATTACCCTTGATATTATCGCATCGATTTGTACCGGTGTTTGCAAAAAACGTTTGGAAACCTTCTTCCACAGATATGACCTTGTATACAAGTGCTCTTTCAATTGTTCTATATTGTAAGAATACTATAGAATAGTATAATTTCATATTCTCTTTATTCATTTCTAGAAGAGACAGTGGCAGATCTAGAATTTTCGAGAGAAGGTGGCACTTTCTAAATTTAGCGGCGCAATCAGAATTCCAGGGTAGGGAGACTCAGCCTCGAATATTTTTAAAAAGCGAACAAAAGTAGTGCTAACTATTTTTCATTTTTTTTCTGCAAAAAGGTAACTAAGACTCTGGCATATCTAAAGTATACGAGGCTAGTTGAGACAGGTATTTCAACACTTTACCATTTCTTACAGAATATGCTCGAAATTCACATTTTTTAATCTTAAGAGTGGCACTTTTCGTGTTCGATGGCTACGATCAATACGATCCCACATCATAATTCGGACCAAAGTGATTGTCAAAGGTAATTTCGAATATGCTGTCTAAACCAGAAACTATCCACTCAAAATTAGTCACGTGCTATGTAATGAGCATAATGATTCTAAATGGAATAGTTAAAAGCGTTACTCCTTGTACCCAAACTGTTTGAAAAATAAAAATACGTTGAATTAGAACAGAGTGAAACTCGGTGATAAAATGAAGAATATGATAATTGATTTAAAATATATTTGTAAGTCTGCCCATGAAGATCTGAGGGAGTGTCGGAGTATTCTTCTTTGTTCGTTACATCAGTATCAAGGACTTTTACAATGCATCGTATCCAGTCTGTTAGAATATGATCGCAAAGCTTTTTCGAGCGAGAAACACCTGCTTTCAAGAGAAAATTTTCGGAAGAACTTTGTTCGATTTTACTGATGTGAAGTCAATTTTAGGTGACATTATCAGATAGTGATTTGTTTCACTACCGGCTGCAGTTCAGAGAAAAACGAAAATGTAGAGAATCATCTAGAATAACCGTAAAACATCATTCCAACAAAATCTTGATTATTCCTGTCACGAATCGCTTTAAAGAAAAAGTGTTCATTTTTTATATCACAGATTTTTCGGTAAGTAAATTCGCATTAACAGTCGGTTTTATACCTCTCAGATTTCTTAGTAAATGATTTTCCAGAAGGAAAATTTGACCTTGTTTTAGTACGAGACCCATAAGAATGGAACAAGAATTTTTGGTAGTCTCTATAGGTAATTTACATGAGTATTTTGGACGAATGAATTACTTAAAAAATATATCCACTTCAATATCGTCCTATATACAATGGCAATGTAGGTGACCATGCTTCGATCCGTTACTAAAATTCGTAATGAGAAATTCAAAATAAAACTTATTGAAAAGAGATTCCTTGCCGATGAGATCAATAATTTGAATTTAACAGAAAAATGTCCCGATCTCTATTATTAAAGTATATTGAGACTAGAATGACTAGATCGGAAACTTTCTACAATTAGAAATGAGTAAATTAGTTTTTTCATCCGCGAAATTAATCGATTTCTTCGTTGGTTTGAAAAATGAATATTGTTTTTCCATTTTATCAAAGAAAAATATCGGATATTCCATAGGATAAACTCAAGTGTTTTGCTCACTCTGCTCAGAATAGCCGCCCAAACGAAAAACAATTCTATTTTTCATGAGAACTTCTATATATATAGTCTATAGTGTATATATCGTAGGTCTACCCCTCGAAAAATCACTTTTCTATTTGTTTATAACAGTAGAGGAAAAGGTTTTTAGAAAAAAATTTTTTTTCCAAGTTTTTTTTGCAAACATCTATCAGTTAGTCTTTGATTGCTTGGTAAACTATTTTGGTCGGCTTTCCAGAAAACGATTTTTTTTTAGTGTGTAAACAAAAAAACTAATATTTTTCTTTTGAGCAAATAGATTTTCTGAAAAATTTTTTTTAAACTGAATGTCCGAAGAGGAGGAAAGGGGTCACCAAAAAACAGACACTTCTGGACAGGAGGGGGATAAAAAAATGCCATTTTTTAGAGGACGTCTTTTATGGATGATCCTTTTCGGATAAATAATTTAATCATGTATATGTACATGTCTATAATCAATCAAAGTACGAAAAGAACTTTAATAATCTTGTGCAATTTATTTAAAAGAAATTTAATGCTCTAAGCTCTGTTAATACATCGCCATCTCACTTGTCACAATTCTATGGATGAGAACAGGAATAAAAAGTGGTGATGTGTACATATATGAGTATATATTTATATGATAATGATCAGTCATTCAAAAGACAAGATATCATCGTACAACTTATAGAGTTAATACAGTTCTATTATTCACATTTTTATTTTCTTTTTTTACGTTCTTTTATAGTAGCATGAGATAAAATAAAACTAAATGATTTTATTTAGTTATTTATAATCATATTATGAATGTTTATCCATAAATGACGATCATATTTACCACCTGACCAACTTTCATATTCAGGATTTTCTTTAAA